AATTTGTGTAATTTTCAATAGTGACCTGTTTAAAATTGATAAAATTTTCATTTAAGCATATTTGTAGAAAAATTTCCAATAGATTGACTTGAAAAATTAAAATCCATCCGCTATTGACAGAGTTATAAGTGGTCAAAACCTGACCACTTTCCGTAACGTCGTCGATTTTAGTTTTTTGAAATTGCACTCCCAATATGTTGCCGAAAGACGTAATTCTACGTCAAAAAAACCTGTTCCTATATTCGCGAACAAAAAATCATTATAAGCTGAACTAAGGTTTTTTCGACTTCACGACTGAGATCCCATAAACGTGATCGAGTAAATCGAATTTCATGAACTTAGATCACGGCTGTTCAGCGCGACTAGCGATTTCGTAACGCTAAGCAAAATACATTTCGTTTCGACTTTTCGTTCCGGCAATCGTGAACTTTTGTCACATGGAAAGCTGCAGCTGTCATTTTCAGGTTGTTGTCAATCTTATTCCTACTGAGTGCTCGGATTCATCGAGAATAGTCTGTAGCTTAATAGTGCATTCAGTTGGGCCGTATCGTCAGAATGGTGGAGGAGTTCATCAAGCCGGCCGAAATACATACTGAAAGGAAAGGGTGAACCAGTGAACGTTCTGTTCCAAAGCGATAAATCAGCGCCAGTTGTGGAGAAAACTTTGAATATCGAGTTATGGAGAGTTGACTGTAATTAATTAGACTTATGGCCATACGGTCTTATTATGGTGTGTTCCAATTATGGCCAATGAAATTCCCATAGGCCATCATTGAAACACGCCATAAAAGGAACGTTATGTAACGGTCGAAGTGGAAATCTGGAAATGGTGTAAAAAATGTTGCGTTACAAGGAAAATGTTGCGCGGCATAAAAAATGTTGCACGACATGAATAATGTTGCATGACAAGACATTAATTTGTTGCAAAACATTAATTGCGTTGCGTTTGTAACGGAGTAATTCGTAGGTTGCATACTGTCAACTGTCATGTATCTATTTTAACTTTCTTATTCTAATTGCTTAAGGAAAACTATTTGGGAATGAATAGCTCTCCAATCAAAATTCAGACTAGGAAAAGCATGACAAATACCTTTTTCCGGCCACGCCCATCTTCTCCGTTACGGTGTAACGCACGACTCGCAGCCTGCGAGATCTCGACAACCGAATACGCTTCTTGTCTCTAAAACGAGTGGCTTAAGTGCCACCTCCGGACCACTCGTCAAGATTTGATTTGCCCGGCAAGAAACCCAACCTCAGGCGGGTTTATGAATAGAAGAGACCGAAATTTAGTTTTAGAGCGATTCAGCAGACTGAAATCCCATGAGGGATTGAGATCCTCACAAACGGTTTTAAGCGAAAGTTGATGCTAACCGTCGTTCTTCCTTAACACAACAACCCCACTCACATTTATCATCACTGGAGAAACTTTCCCTTTCAGCTTTCCTCAACCGATCCTGACACGTGAGTGCGGAGACTGTTTTCCCAGGCAGTCAAACCTGGAGTTAATTCAACTACAACAAAAAAAAAACCGACCAAAACGTGAAGAATCTAGCCATCAAAAATTAACATTACGGGGAAAGCTTTTACTTTACGAAAACAACATTTATTTCAGAGTTAAACAACGGAAATCATTATATGATTAATTCGTGTTCCTAACCTAGGTTTTATTCATGGCACTTGTTCCTTTCCCATTTGTTTGTTTATTTGCTAGTTCTCCCTGATCGTGTGTGCGGTTTCCTGATCTAGTTCTAGCGATCGCTAGCCTAACTTGTTAATTTTCTTTGAGTTCATATGTTTGTATGTGTGGAGATTCGCATGCGTTTCATTTACTCACGGTAATCATTGTCGTCGCTGCTTCATCCGCGTCTGCACAGAAGCATCCCTTTGTCGGATTAAGGTCGGCAAAGTAGCAGCCTATTCAAACGGTGGTACACGCAAAAAAAACCGTTCCGGTATTCGTTAACAACAAATCACGAAAGCATGAACTGCTAGTTCGTTTGAATTCATGACTTAGTTCCCGTAAACGTGATCGAGTAAAGAACATGTTCATGAAATAAATCCCAAATTCATGAACTTAAGTCCCGCCTGTTCAGCGCGACCATCGATTTCATAACGCTACAGAAAACACAAAATAAAATCATGGTTTCGTGATCCATGATCCCATAAATGTGATTTTCGTTCCTGCAATCGTGAACTTGGAACACTTGCAAGTCGAAGGTGGTGTTGATTTGTTGACCTTTTTTTTTGTTTTTGTATTATAGTCACTTTAACACTCTTGGGTCATTCGTTACTTGTCCGGGGTGAGATTTGAACTCGTGACTTTGGCGTGAGAGGTATGGATGTTAACCACTACACCGGGGGGGGGGGGGTCGCCCCGAGCTGAGCTGAAAACTCGGCTGAAAGTGTGTTCATTCCATCTGCTGGACAGATACCTGCTGCCAGTTTGGGATGCGGGTAAAACCTGCATCAAGGCTTCCGTTGTTTTTATTCCGCTTGCTCACTCCATTTAAAATATTAGTAATTATAATGAAGTTGACATTTTACAGTCCATAAACCATGTTCCCGTTTTCGAGAACAAGTATCAATCACAACGCATGAACATAAATCACGTTTTCCGAACAGAGTTCACGATTCTATGACTTTTGTTGCCTTTGCAGGCGTTACGTTTATTTTGTGGAACAATGTTCAAGATTTCATGATTTCTATTCATGGTGTACTTTTGTAAACGAAAAATTTACTTGTTCCGAAAATCGTGACTGGAGGTTGACGAATTTCGGAACGGATTTTTTCCCGTGTAGTGTTGCACATTGCACCCCGGACTGGTATGATACGGAAATTCCCAATCGAACCCTCGAATTGGTACTGAACTAGCACCGACTGCCGGTAGCCGAAATGTCAACGAGGGGATCGTCGAAGACGAATAATGTACGTGGGTTCACGTGGTTGATATTGGCGGATTTGGCCAACGCTCTGCTGGAGAACAGTTAAACGGTGTCTCCCTTCCGAATTCTCCCCGAACCGGGAACCTTGACGTTGAAGCGTGGGGTCTAGAGAGCGCGATTTAATTCCTTTTATTGCGGTGTGCCGAGCAAAGCCATCTATCGCTAGAAGCGATGCGGTGCAAACTCCAATCTGCACAAAACGATCCTACACAAAAATCCGTCGAACGGCTGTTCGACACATTTCAGATACATCTCCACACAAAAGACATTGTTCACCTTACCTTTCTACGAACTTTGCACACACAATAAGTGGGCCGCACGGAACTTCTAACCTACAGTTTACACTCTACAGGCTAACGGAAAGGAACAAAAATGTAACATTAATTTCGGTCTTTTAGACTCCTCACATTTTTAACTTCACATACCACGAAAAATACACCGCAACACTAAGTACACTTAATTACTATCTACTCGCACTCCCGTCTCTTCCACGGTTCAAGTCAAAGTGAACGAGTAGAAGTTCCAGAACCCTCAGATAGGTGTGAATTCAACGGTCATCGTGGCCGGAAGTACGTCAAATTACCGAAGTAATTCAACGACCTTTCAAACGACAATTTTCATCATCTTTCTCTGTAACCATTCAATGCTACATCTCTTTCCTTATCATGCACTTTCAATCTACTATCTTGCTCAAATCTTTTTTCGGTTACTCTTTTATACGAGAGAACGGTTAGGATTTGAACCCCGGACTTTAACGAACAGGTAGCGTATTCGGGTCAAATGGAGTGAATTAGCTGAACGTATTGGGAACTCGTTGGTTTTGTATGACAAGTGTAACTATATATAAGTGGACGTACGTTCCTTGGCGGTGTTCATGCAAAATACTTAAATGTGGAAAATTGTATAATTAGGAATTCTGTGCAAATAAATAAATAAATAAATGGAAAAGCGTACTTGTTACAACGGGGAAAGGAATGATATTGTTCATGTAACATCTACTTAACGGAAGGCCAGCGACTCACCGATGCCTCCATAGATGCTACGGAGTTGAATAGTTGGGTAGGAGATGGGTCAGGATTCGCTTAAGCAGGCAATGCGACCATAGTAATGATTTTGTTTTGGAGGAGCTTGGAAATAAACCCTCGATCTTCTACTCAGTAAGCAAAAACGGTAGTGCAAAGAATAAAGTGCTGAGGATGGTACTTGATTGTCCTTTCGATACATGAATTTCCGATCTCCATCTAGAGGCGAACGTTCCTAAATTAGATTGCAAAATTGCTGACATTAAGACATCAGAAATCTTGTCAATAGTGGAACAAAAGCACTCACATAGGTCTGAAAAGCATTTATTTACATAAACCTGCCATTAATGGAGCAGAACGTGAAATCAGCGTAAAATTGCAATTTTCGCGTAGACTTTGCTGTCAACTTATGGGTTCGTGTACCGAAAACGACAAAATAATTCTCTTAAATAAAATCCCTTCCTCTGTTGACACACATAACTCCATCGCTTGAAGCAGAACAGAAAACTTAGAGACATGAAAAAATGACCCAGAAATGAACATCACTCCATTTGTCACAGGGAAAATCCGAGCTGGACAAAAACCTTTCTCTCCTCTTGGGTGAAAATATTAAACATCCAACGCATGGAGCCAACCTCTTACCAACCGGCCAAACGACAGACAGGGACAAAACCGAACTCAAACGCCTGCTCGCATGGCATCAAAGCCCCTAGGAGGACATTTCACAACATGAAAAATGTATTTAATTCGCTCCCATCGGAGGCCAATCTGTGCTGTGTCGGAGAGTTATCCGTTTCAACTTTTCTCCATTTTTTTTTCTTCCCGGCACTTTTCTACGTCCGTCGGGACTGCTCCCGCGTCGCTATTTGTTGGATGATCTACCCTGAGAAAAAGCTCTCTCCACCCGTCATGGAAATGAAATATTTATGTAACCCAGCACAAGTCATTCCCCCCTCCTGCCGATCCGGCCGATACAGCCCCGTTTCCCGTTTGCTCATTCTTCACTCATTGTGTTTCTTTCTTATTTTCATTCCAGATGCTGAACCAGGATCAGACGGTGCGAACCACGACGGACAATCTCATAACCACGGCCATTTCATTGCGGATTCATCTGCAGAGTTCACACTTTGCCGGCGTCCTGATGGCGGGCGGTGGGGGAAGCGGCACTCTGGTGCTTCGGTGTACCGCCACTATCGGGACGCTGTACGAGCGATACTCAGAACTGGAACTGGGTGCACAACAACGGGATCCGGTTCCCGCGAGGGGTAAGTGTAGAATTTGGGGCCGACATTTGGCTGTACTGGGGGAGAACATAAAAGCATAGTCCAATATGCTTGAGAAGGGTAAAGCTTTGTTCAGGCAGCGGCTCTCAATCTTTCGTTGATTGTGGTCCACTTTGTCAAATTTTGTAAACTTAATAGCCTTTTGTAAGAGGAACAAAGTTTGTAAATTTTGATGCATTAAGTAGATGTTAACCCTCCGTTACTCGCGCTGTTGTACTTTGTACAACACACATGAGTTTTCCATTGCCATTTTGTTGCTGGGTTACCAATCGATCTGAAACCAACGAGTATTCCTCAAAAAACTTGTTTTGATCTAAACTTTGATTACAGTAAACACATAAAAATGCGGATAATAGGGAAAATGTAAATGGAAACCGCGAAAACTGTGACCATACTACGTGGTATTTGACTTAATTTACAACATGGAATATATCGAGATCCTGACCAGATAGAAAGTTACTGTCTCTGACAAAGTTGTTCAGGAGACCATAGCCTTGTCGCTGGTGGACAGTAGTTCCGAATTTTCTCACTACGTAGCGCTAGTATACATGTGAAATTCTCGCATGTGATATATCTCGAGATCCTGACCAGATAGAAAGTTACTTTCTTTCACAAAGTTTTTCAGAAGAAAGCCTTAAAGCCTATTGCTTGGTGCTAAATAGTTCAGAATTTGCTCACTACGCGACGCTAGTATACACGTGAAATTCTCATACAAAATATCTCGAGTTCCCAACCAGATAGAAAGGTACTTTCTTCGGCATAGTTGTTCAAGAGGTCAAGCCTTTTTCGCAGGTGGACAGTAGTTCAGAGTTTTCTCACTTAGTGGTGCTACTATAGATGTGAAACTCTTGCATATAAAATATCTCTAGATCCTGACCAGATTGAAAGTAAATGTATTCGGCAAAGTTTTTCAGGAAGTCAAGATCATTTTTTTAAGTGATAATAGTTCAGAATCTTTTCACTATGCGTGGCTAGTATATACGTGCCTTTCTCGCATATTCAATAGCTCGAGATCCTGATCAGATAGAAAGTTACTGTCTACGACAAAGTTGTTCAGGAGGTCAAATTTTTTTGGTTGGTGGAGAGTAGTACAGAATTTTCTCACTTCATGGGGCTAGTATACATGTGAAATTCTCGCGTATAAAATATCTCATGTTCTTGACCAGATAGAAAATTACTGTCGTCGGCAAAGTTGTTGAGGATATCACAAAATATTTGCTCGTGGACAGTTGTTCAAAATTTTTCTCACTACGTAGTGCTAGTGAAATGTGAAATTCGTGCCTGTGATACATCCCGAGATCCTAATCAGATAGAAAGTTACTGTCTTGAACAAAGTTGTTCAGGAGGTTAACCCTCCGTTACTCGCGCCAACTTTTGTAACACGAGTACTCGCGCGTTGTACTTTGTACAACAGTGTGAGTTTTCCATTGCCATTTTGCAGCCGAGCTACCAATCGATATGAAACCAACGGGTATTCCTTAAAAAACTTGTTTTTAACTAAACAAGCTAAACTTTTACCACAGTTAACCCCCAAAATATGCGGATAATAGAGAAAATATGAATGCAAACCGCGTAAACGGTGTTCGTACCACATGGGATTTGACTTAATTGGTTACAACATAGAAAATCTCGAGATCCTGACCAGATAGAAAGTTACTGTCTCCGGCAAAGTTGTTCTAATGGTCATAATCTTTTTGCTGGAGAAGAGTAGTTCAGAATTTTCTCGCTACGTAGCGCTAGAATACATGTGAAATTCTTGCATGTGATATATCTCGAGATCATGACCAGATAGAAAATTACTGTCGTCGACAAAGTTGTTGATGAAATCAAAGCCTATTTCTTGGTGCACAATAGTTCAAAATTTTCTCAATACACGGCGCTAGTATACACGTGAAATTCTCATATAAAATATCTCGAGATCCTGACAAGATAGAAAGTTACTGTCTGCGGCAAAGTTGTTCAAAAGGTCAAGGTATTTTCCTTGGTGGGCAAGTTGTTCAGAGTTTTCTCACTTCACGGCGCTAGCATACATGTAAAATTCTCGCATATATAAAATATCTCTAGATACTTACCATATAAAAAGTTACTGTCTTCAGCAAAGTTTTTCAGGAAGTCAAGATCTTTTCGTTGGTGGAGTAGTTCAGAAAATTCTCACTACTTGGCGATAATACATGCAATTTTTGCATGTATAATAGCTCGAGATCCTGAGCAGGTAGAAAGTTATTGTTTTCGGCAAACTTATTTAGGATCAAGTATTTTTGGCTGGTGGAAAGTAGTTCAGAATTTTCTCACTTAGCGGCGCTAGTATACACGTGAAATTCTCATATAAAATATCTCGAGATCCTGACCAGATAGAAAGTTACTGTCTTAGGCAAAGCTGTTCAGGAGATCATAGCCTTTTTGCTGGTTAGTAGTTGTTCAGAATCTTCTCACTAGATAGTGCTCGTATACATGTTAAGTTCTCGCATGTGGTACATCACTAGATCCTCATCAGATAGAGAGTAAATGTCTTTGGCAAAGTTGTTCAGGAAGCCAAGATTTTTTCGTTGGTGGACAGTTGCTCATAATTTTCTCACTACTCGATGCTAGTATAGTAGTGACGTAATGAAATATTATGCACCAAGCAATAGGCATTGACCTCATGATTTTTTTTTTCGAAGACAGTTATTTTCTACCTGTTCAGAATCTAGACCTTAGCATACGCGAGAATTGTACACGTTTATTAGCGCCATGTGGTGAAAAAACTCTGAACTACTGTCCACCTGCTAAAAAGCCTTGACCCCCTGAACAAGTTAGCCGAAAACAGTAAATTTCTAGCTGCTCAGGATCTCGATATATAGCATATGCAAGAAGTGTACATGTATACTAACACCACGTGGTCAGAAAATTCTTAACTACTGTTTACCAGCCAAAAATTCTTGACCCCCTAAACAACTTTACCGAAGACAGAAACTGTCTAGCTCATCAAGATCTCGAACTATTGAATATGCGAGAAAGGCACCTATATACTAGCACCGCATAGTGAGAAAATTCTGAACTATTGTAACCCAACAAAAAGATCTTGACTTCCTGAAAAACTTTGCCGAATACATTTACTTTCAATCTGGTCAGGATCTAGAGATATTTTATATGCAAGAGTTTCACATGTATAGTAGCACCGCAAAGTGAGAAAACTCTGAACTACTGTCCACCTGCGAAAAAGCCTTGACCTCCTGAACAACTATGCCGAAGAAAGTACCTTTCTATCTGGTTGGGATCTCGAGATATTTTATATGAGAATTTCACGTGTATACTAGCGTCGCGTAGTGAGCAAATTCTGAACTATTGCGCACCAAGCAATAGGCTTTGACCTCCTGAAAAGACTCCCGGAAGACTTTGTGAAAGACAGTAACTTTCTATCTGGTCAGGATCTCGAAATATATTACATGCGAGAATTTCACATCAATACTAGCGCTACGTAGCGAGAAAATTCTGAACTACTGTCTTCCAGCGACAAGGCTATGATCTCCTGAACAACTTTGTCGGAAACAGTAACTTTCTATTTGGTAAGGATCTCGATATATGCCATGTTGTAATCAATTAAGTCAAATCCCACGTAGTATGGTCACAGTTTACGCGGTTTGCTTTTAAATTTTCTCTATTATCCGCATTTTTAGGTGTTTACTGTAATCAAAGTTCAGCTTGTTTAGATTAAAACAAGTTTCTTGAGGAATACTCGTTGGTTTCAGATCGATTGGTAACTCAGTAACAAAATGGCAATGGAAAACTCATGTGTGTTGTACAAAGTACAACAGCGCGAGTAACGGAGGGTTAAGCAGCTTTACAAATTCTACGCTAGCTTGTGGATACACCAGTGCTGATAAATTGTGTCGACTGCAACGCAGCCTGAAAGGTGCGGCATATGAAGCTGTACAAAGTCGACTTCTTCTTCCGGAGTCAGTCCCCCATGTCTTGGACACCCTTTACCTGCTCTATGGTAGGCCCGAGTTGCTTATCCACGCACTACTCGAGAAGGTTCATTCTGTACATGCACCGAAAGTCGACAAACTCGAAACACTCATCGATTTCGGCATGGCAGTCCAGGGCATCTGCGATCACTTGGAAGCAGCGGGTCAACTCGCACATTTGTCAAATCCGTCCCTGTTAATGGAGCTTGTGGGGGAAACTTCCGGCCCACGTGAAGATGGAGTGGGGTAGCTACCTACGAAACTTTCCGGAAGTGAATCTAAAAACGTTCGGGAACTTCATGTCGAATGTTGTGATATCCGCGAGCAAGGTGACAGTGTATAGTGGTATAAGTGGCAAGAGCGGATCCGGAGACAAATTGAAGCCGATGTATCGAGTCAACGCGCACTCTGGTGAAACGGAGGAATGGCGATCAAAGGAGCTGCTGTGCTACGCATGTAGGAAACCTTGACACCGGCTGCAGGAATGTGGAACTTTCAAGTCGCTATCCGTTGACGATCGTTGGAAGTGCATCCAGACCAACGGGCTGTGTCGAAATTGTTTAGGTGACCACGGAAGGAGAAGCTGTAGGCGCTCGAGTTGCTGCGGGGCAAACGGATGTCAGTATCGCCACCATCCTCTACTCCACTCAGTAAGAACCAGCACCCCACTTCGCCGTCCAACGCAAGTGTCATCTGGGGAGAACCACACGCATCAGCAGATGGAGCGGCATGTGTTCTTCCGCATCATTCCGGTGACTCTCTTTGGACCATGTGCAGTTATCAATACATTTGCATTTCTCGACGACGGGTCGTCATTGATATTGATCGACGAAAAGCTGGTGGAGCAGCTTGGCGTCGACGGTGAAAACCGACCACTGTGCTTAATGTGGACGGGAAATGTGACTCGAATGGACACAGCAAGTGTCGTTGTCGATATCTGCGGCAGGTGATCAGAGGAGATACACACTGGACGATGCACGCACGGTTAAAGAGCTTTCAACGTCAACTGTTGGAGTATCAGCTAAAGGGATACGC